CAAGTCTTGAACCAATTCTCCCTTCTCTCACTCTCTCTCACGTTTGGTGTTGAAGATGGAAGATAATAGAGTCAAAATATGTATTAGGTGTGAAACAATCTTGTAAAAGCCCACTCAATGGCACACTTGTAAATAACTTAAGCTAAACTAATTAACATTAGTTATTCTAATTTAATCATTCCAAATCAACATTTAATTAAAATTACCATAAAATCTCATAAATCCTACTTAACACATAAATCAAGTTAATTTCTAAATCGGATGCCGATAGGACCTTCAATTCATAAACCGAAAGAAAAACATAAGCAGATTTTCCTACGTTGAACAAATATAGACATAATTCATGCAACACACACAAGTAATTTAATCCAGAAGTTCACCCTAATTACCAATCAAGCATAATTAACTGCGGATTAACGTTAATCAGGGATCAGGGTTGTTACAATATTTCTCCACAACCCTTACTTTATCAATATTTTTTCAAAAACTTTGTTCATGGTAGTGATTTTGAAAAAAAAATATCCAAATAAATAAAAGAAAAAAAATACAAAATACAAAGGCCAAACAATTGTTTTTCAGTTTTGTTTTTCAAAAAAGAAAAACTAATTTAATAAAAATAAATATCAATAAAATATCTTTAAATTTGAAAAATTATTTTTAACCTCCCAAAAGATAAAATTATATAAAAATGATGAGTTTTAGAAAAAAAATTCTTAAACAAATTTATGAAAACCAAACCAAACATAACCAAGATACAAAATTTTTAGGGCAAATTACACTAACAATCCCTATAGTTTGGTGCTCGTGTCACTTTGATCTTTAACTTTTTAATTGTAACACATTTGATAATAAATTTTGAATCTTGTTCATGAAATCATGGACTTAAACATAATTATGAACATGCATGTAACCTTTTGCCATGAAAACAACTCAAACATCTATATTAAAAACATGCATGCATGAAATGAGCTTCAAATCAACAACAATGAACCAATTCTAGACTTAAATCACTAGAGGCTCAAGAATCTTGCATGAATAAGCTTAAACACAACAAAGAGGGGTTGAATTCCTTACCTAGAGCTTTAGTTACAAGGTGAGGAAGCTTAATTTGCAACCTATGTTCCAATTCCTTCAATTACCAAGCAATTTATAAGCAAAATGAGATGAAATTCACTCCTCTAGTTCCTCTCTCTCTAAGGTCGGCAAGAGCAAGAAAATGGCTGATGAATTGTGTGCTTAAGTGTAACATAAGGCTCAAATATGTTATTTTGAGTGGCCACTTAAGGGTTAGTTTGGTAAATAAGGCCAACTCTTTAATTAGCTTATTTTAATCTAATTTAATCATACCTAATCAATTTTCAGATAATTATACCACAAAATCACATTAATCATGATGATCATAAAACATCAATCACTTCCGGATTCGGCCGCCGATAAGGCCTTCAATTAGTAGTTTAAACATAAGACATGAACACATCAAACAAACAGTCAACAGATAAAATGCAATTCAAACAGATGTATGCACAATTAAACAGATAGACTCAGTCAATTTAGTTTCAGTCTTCAGTCAGTCAGTTCAGTACTTTAATCAGTTCAATTATCAGTCGTGATCAGTTCAGTTTAACGGTAATCAGTGTTTATCGGTAGGCAGTGGTGATGGTTATTACAGTTGCTACCGGAATTGCCTTCATGGTAGAAGCTGACGCGTCATCCTCTACTCGGATGTCCTCATTGATGCGCTGTATGAGCTGGCCCATGGAGGTCGGTTGGTGCATGGTCAGCGAGTCCCGCAATCTATGGCCGACCGGGAGACCACGCTTATATTGCGTGATCGCGAGGTTGACCGGGAAATCCAAGATCTCGTTGAAGGTTTCCCAGTACCTTGAGTTGTATACCTTCAGTGTGTCGCTCGGTTCCATCTTGACACTTAGCAAGTGGTCGACTTCCTTTGGTGTTTTTGTGTTGGTTTTGAAGCGTGTAACAAATGCCTTGGCCAACTGATGCCACCTTTGTATGCTCCCTTCCGGCAACCTCTTGAACCACTTTAAGCCCAGCTCGCCTAAACTTGACGGGAAGATTAGGCACATAAGTCCGTCATTTCGCCTATGTCCGGCCATAACCTGTCGGAAGTGGCTCACATGCATGTATGGATCGGTTTTTCCGTCATAGAGTGTGAACTTAGACTGGTGGAAGCCTGCCGGAAGCGGTGTTCTTTCTATTTCCAGGAAGAAAGGGGTGGCACTCAGCCTGGCCAAGTCCGTATCTTCAAAGAGTGGCACTGCTTGGCGGGGTGGAGGCATTCCGACCTCCTCGCTGGCGTGAACCCCGTAAGATAGCCGCTGGAAAGCCGGGATTCTCTGAGCTTCGCGCCGGCGAGCCCGTTCCTTTAAGACTGCCCGCAAATCCTCTGAATGAGCAGAGTAAGAGTACCTCGACGTCGTCACCGGACGTGAGGGTTTGTAGGTGCTGTCTTGCGCGCTAGACTTTTCTGCATGCGCGTCGGAATCACCAACCTGGTAACTTCTGGTAATAGATATGGACTGATTACGTCGCTGACTCTGACCACCTGAATGGCGGGATGGGGTGCGCTCACTGTGGTCTCCCACTCCAGCTACACCTTTACCTTTGACATGCCGCTTCAGATCCTCCATCTCCGCTGCCATTCGCCGGATGACAGCGTCTTGGTCCTTCAACTTAATTTCCAGACGTCTGGCGTGTGAGTCTCTCCTCCACCGGTGACCGTCTGGACTCCGTGAATGACCATGACTTATTCCGCGCTTATCCCGCGCGTCTCCTGACTGTCCTCCGGTGGGCGTCCCCAAATCCGCCATTGGATGGATGGCGGGAGGACCTTTTCTCCTTCGGGTGAACTCCGGGGTGGCTCCGTCGATGGCAGACAACGGAAACTCGTCGTTGTTCGCCATGGACGGCGATCAGATGAACTTGGAAGACAAGGTTTTGTCTGTCAAGCTTCCCATAGACGGCGCTAATTGTACGGGGAGCAAATATTCCGGCAAGCCCGTATTCCTTTCTTCCGAGCTCCGTCTCTGTCCGATCACCTGCGAGCAAACAATGGTGAGCTACCCGGCGGTGTGTGGCCGGAAAAACCCTCCGACGATCAAGTTAGCACACACCTTAGGATAGAGAGAGAGAGAGAGAGAGGGGGGGTTAGAGTGTAGGAGTTTTCTTACAAAGTGTTCATCCCCGGGGTATGGGGGGCGCAGACATGCTTATATACCCTCTGCGCCCCATATCCACTCCCAGTCATCTCCTGACACGTGGCGCCGCTATGCCATCTGTCAGCGTAAACCTTACTGAACATCACATAATCTCAACTGCCTGCCTTCTCAGCTGGAGCTCGGCAGCCGAGCTGCTCCATCCACGGCCGTGCTGTGCTTCATACCCAAGCACTTTACGGGCTAAGTCCAAGGAGGACCGGGCTAGGCTACATCTCGGCAAAGTCGAGCCCGGGCTCCTCCTGTGGTCGGCCTTCCTGCCGATCAAACAATTACCTCGGCTGACCACGCCTTTCCGGGCGCCGGTCACTCAGCTTGACTGGCTTCCACCATCCCCTGATCAAGCAGCTCGGTCCAACCGAGCACTGCCTTGCCGAGCAGCTTCTTTACGATCTGGGGCGGCACGTACTTGGCCCAACTCCTGCCTAGCCCAAGTTCTGGCAGCCCATCTCCGGGCGGATCGCCGGTCATCTCGGCCCCATGCACCATTAGGCTCTCAACCTGCTCGGCCGTTACCTCGGCCCAATTCCAGATCATAAAACTCCCTCTCAATATGTCACATCAAAAATTCTCTACTCAATTCAAAACTTTTTTTAAAACTTATTCATCAAACAAATTTTCTATACTCAAATCATAATTCCAAAATTCATAAACTCAAAATACAACTCCTATTCTGAATTATATTTAAGAAACTCTATCAAACGCTACTAAAGTGTCTTCACTCTATTTCCTCAGCATGTGAACTTATAATTCCATCCCCTTCCCAGTGTTAATAATCCTACTTTTTTTTGTTTGATTAATTATCCAACACATACATAATCCGAAACAAAAATAGAAAACAAAAGCAAGATTATTAGGTCTAGCGACTAATAATTTTAATCCCATATTTTAATCATGTTAATCAAACATATCCTAAGTGTCAGGACTATCAATGTAATTTATCTAAAAAAAATTATATTATCCAATGTAATTTGGCTTCAGAAGTTGGCATAAGTGGTCCCACCCCTAATAATCCTAAATAAGATTGTGCAAAATACCGTCTAATCCACTAAAACAACACCGCTAACTACAGTTTAAACTTTAAAATTCATAATTAATGCATATATTTTTCAACCTATAACGGAATATCAAAGTAAAATAAGTGTGAAAGAAATTTAATATGTAAAATTTATTAAAAATTAGTAATTATATACATGAAAAATATTATGTAAGATTAACTTGTGTTATATATATAAAAAATATTATATAAAATTAATTTGTGTTATATATTATGCAAACGTTTGATAATTAATTAAAATATTCTTCAATTCACCAAAAATTACTCAAACTGCAATTTGTCAATTTGATATCCGATTTATAATTTTATTCTTAAACCACTGGAATCACACTGCACACCCCCATAATCCTAAACATCATTTAACAGTGAGAGACCACCACTCTAAAATCCACAAATCATACAGCAGCCTTAGCAGCAAAAATACTGAAAATTTCAAAAATTTTATCAAAAATTCTACTAAATGTCTCACATGAATATAGAACCCACATAGGACCCACATTGTGTGAGTCACACACTCATGTGAGACATTTTCTAAAAATTTTAATAAAAATTTTAGAATCTCTAGCATTGCTAGCCTTAGCAGCTATGCAATACACTTTTCACGGAATCACGGGCAAGCCCACAAAATTCACAGCTGGTCACAAGTTAGGACCAGGTAGAATAGGAGAAATGGGAAATGTAAAAAATAAAAAGAAGAGAACCAATAATGATGATAAAAACCCTTGGTTTAGCAATGAATAAATCAATTGTTATAGTATTGTAAGAACAGATAGATTTAACATGTTCCATACTCATGGCTTCATTATCTGAACACGAAGAAAATATAAAATTAAATTAAATAAAAATTAAATTAACAAGAAAAAAAGTAGGGAAAGTGCAAAGTATGGGCAACAGGGGGTCACAATTCTAAATCTAAATTCTAAACGGATGTGAGGGTCAGGTGATGTGCACCAAGGCCTTGACGTGACCACATAAATCAGGGGAACTAAAGAACAAGTGATTTTCCTAACAAAATGGATGTCAACATCTACCCCTTGGACTCACCAAGTTCAACATCCTTCACATGAGTGTTTTCAACTCCCTCCTTGAATAGCTTAATTTCCTCTTCTGTAAGGCTGTTCTTTGCGTGGGGTGTGATCTTGTTATTAGACTGCTTTTCAACCTCCATGGCCCAACTATAAATTATCATGCCAATAACTGCAATAACCATCCCCATTATGTTCTTAAAGGTCAACTCTGAATCAAACAGAAGCCACCCCAAGGTGAGGACGCATACTGTTTTCATGTGACCTAAAACCTGGAAAGAAACTGCTGAGAAGCGTCCAATGCAGAGGTACTGGCTCACGTTGCAGAACACCGCTAGGGAGCATGACAGTAGAATGAATAACTGCCCATATTAAAACCAGGTGTTAGATATATTTGACCCAAAAAAAAAATCTCATGTAAAGAAGATTCCATAGATGCAACAAAATCTTACATGCTAAGAGTAAGATTGAATAAGAGACAAAACTTACAATGGCACTAGAAGACAGCTTGTAGGTCGCTATAAATTTTCCACTAAGATAGTAGTCAATGAAAGGACCAAACAAAAGAAGGGATAGCGCCTGAATTGGAGCTGTCTTACTCAACAATTCAAAAGATCCAATTGAATATTTCTTCTGCAAGGATCCTATCGACTGTATGCAAAGGAAGTTTGCTCAACCATAGAATCAAGACCACAAAATAAAATCATTACGCCATAGACAATGTAACGGGGCGACTGAAATTACGCAGTGAATGCAAGTAATAGAGTACATCATAAAAAGTCAGGATCACACTTGTAGGTGAAATTTCCCCTTAATTTCAGCGAAGTGATGTAGTAGTTAAGACTTACGAGTCGCGAACTTTTGACACTACTGAAGATAGGTTTTAAATTTTTGTTTTACTCTAGGAACGGGTGAACATCATAATTATTAAAGAGGGCACCTTCACTTCAGAAGCTAGCTTTTGGTGTTTAACTTTACCCATACCATATCACATGTGACAAAATACAATACAGACAGGGAGAATAGAACAACCTATTATTGCATTAACCTAATCTCCAAAAGACCCACTTACACAATTTACACAAAATACATAAAAATCAAAACTCTAATTAACCCTAAAGACTAAAATACCCCTATGGTAAATACAAACTACCCAAAATACATTTTATGGTGTGTCCGACACATGTAAAGAAGTGAGCAACAAGTGTCAGTGTGTGACACAGACACAACACCTTCATAGAAATATTTGTGCTTCTTAGCTAGTGCATCAATTGGTGAACGTTGCACGGCCATACCATTTTAATAAACCTTCAAGTTCTCAACTCTCAATCTACCTACTAGTTTAAGTTCCATAAAAGTAGTCCTATATCATTGAAATGCATTAAAATCAATTCTGGGCTACCAATACAGTTGAACCACTGTCTAATAAGCCAATCTCCTTCCTGCTTTCCAAAGCATTTTAGTCAGCATAACTAGCAAATACATAAGAGAGGAATTAAAGAAGTACTTACAATTTGCTGCAATGACGTAGACAATACTGCTACACATGCACATAGAAAACCTTTGGCATTAACTTTGACATCAGTTACAGTGCAAACCCCGACACCAATGACCACAACCACAACAGACATTTTAACTTCCCTCGAGTAGTTCTTGTTATGAAGGATCCACTCCATTAAGCAGACCACTGGAATCATGCTCAGTTTTGAGATCTACACCAAAAGGACAATGCTATCTTCATGAGTGCATGGGCAAAAAAAAGGATCAATTAACTTTGACATCAGTTACAGTGCAAACCCCGACACCAATGACCACAACCACGACAGACAGTTTAACTTCTCTCGAGTAGTTCTTGTTATGAAGGATCCACTCCATTAAGCAGACCACTGGAATCATGCTCAGTTTTGAGATCTACACCAAAAGGACAATGCTATCTTCATGAGTGCATGGGCAAAAAAAAGGATCAGGTAAAAAAGTACATAATTAAATAAAAAAATGTGTGGAACTCTTTTGTGCATCAAGCCTAAACAGGAGAAGAAAATCAAAATTAGGCATTCAATTATCACTTCACTTAATGGTTCTAACAAATGCATAATTAATAGTGTCATCATTGCATAGATGTTGCATGTTGGTGTCAATTTTCTATTCTAGTTTGTCTTCTCCAACCAGAAATCACACTTAATCAGTTGCAAGAGCACAGCTGATTTCAGGGTAACGTGCTTTACGTTGAATGATACAACAAGATGATCATGATTGTGACAGTGACAGTGACAGTGACTGACTGAGAAGATATATAGATCTGACAAGCATATTGAGCCATATCACAGGAACCATGGGTCATATACAGTGATGAAAGCTCTAGCTATAAGTAAAAAGCATGGGTTCAAGTCTGAGGTCAACATCTTCCTGCATTAGAGTTTGGCGGTAGAAGTTGATTACTGTGATAGCATCTAATGCTATGGCTCCCTGCATCTGATAAAGCCATTGCATTTTGGAGGCTGTTTCTTCTTCCAAGTGGTGTTGTCCTGCTGCAATTTGTTGACATTGATTAGCCGCCTTGAATCTTGGCTTATTTTGAATGATCTCAATGTTGCATGTGAGCTTGGTTGCTGCGTTGTAAGGTTATAGCTATTTTGATGACACTTATATCCTATGTTGCCAAACGAGTTATATACTTCTATTGCTGCATTTACATGATTCTGCTGCTAAGGAACTATGTGCAGTAGAAGGTGATGCATTGATGGATGTGCCATAACAGGTGGAGGTAGTTGTATTCTTCTGTTAGATGCTGTAATTCTTTTGTAATCTTTATTGTTAATCTAGAAGCTTATGAATGGTTGTCTACTGAGATTCTGTATGCGATTGCAAGATAGGCATACTGATGGGTTAGGATAAATAAATCCTTTTGTATAGCCTTCTAGAGTATAGGCTTGCTACACAAAGATATCTTGTATATCCTGGGGTATGCCCCTCTAAGTTGTTTACATATTTTCATATCCTTCATATATATGTATTTTACTTACCAGGAAAAAAGAAACCACGTTGCTACATGTAAATTATTAGTATGATGGCATATCCATAGAATCAAATAGGTTGGCTCAAGTAGAATTTTTTATTTTATTTTTTTGATTTCAAGTGGAAGAATGCTTCTAGCATATTAGGTGATTTATGAATACCAACAAAATTAAAAGAAACATTTTTTTGTAGAACTACTATAAGGTCAGCACATGCTTTATGAGACAAAATGTTGGGCAACTAAGAAATGACATGTGTATAAAATGAGTGTAGCTTAAATGAAGATGCTTAAATAGATATGCCGTATGACTAGAAAAGATAGAATTACAAATAAATTATTTGTGAAATGGTAGGAGAAGCGCCCATTAAAAGAAGTTGAGGGAGAACAAGCTAAGATAGTTTAGTCATATACAATGAAGCCCCCATAGATGCAATGCCAAGAAAGAGTGATATGATCACAGTAATGGAAATATTAGGGGAAGGAGACAACTTAAACTAACATGGGATGCATTAATAAAAAGGAACAAAAAAATTATTTAATTTAACTGAGTATATAGCCCTTAACATAGTGGAATGGTGAAATCAAATTCATGTTGTTAATCTCACTTGATTGGGACACAAGGCTTAGTTTGGTTTGGCATCATTTTCTCAAATATGGATTGAATTTTATTGGATATGGTTTCGTCTACGAAGCATGAACATGGATACATCAACACAGTAAGACACGAAACGTGGGAACATGCACAAAATAGTTTTATACATTTATTATGGGTCATATGTATAAATAATATCATTCAAAGATAACGAAAAAGATGTAAAATAACATTAATTTTCATAAATCTACATTATTTTTTGATTTTGTATCATTAGTATTTTTGTTCAAATTTATAATTAGTTTTACGTGTGTCAAAGTGATTAACACGTGTCCCTAAGTGTCCAAAGAGAGATGGGGTCTAACTAGAAGTGTGTGTGATTCATAGGATTTCGTATTAATAAGAAGTTTTCTATAATATTGCAGTAAACAGTAAGCATAAATGAAATAATACAAAGGTATCCTACCATTGCATATACATGTCTATGATAACTTCTAAATACAAAACGTAAAAAACTAAAGAAGCAACTTCTCTTACATCAAAGGGAAAAACTATATCGAATATATTCTTCTACATAAACTAGCCTAGTCAAAATATTACTTGAGTAATTAGAATCACACACAGAGCGAACACATACTGACTACATTATAGAACAGCTAGTATCTGGTAATGGTAAAAAATATATATGTATATAGCGCTTTAGAAGTCCATACTTGGTAAAATCCAACAGAGTTCAGCATGAGACTTAAATTCATCCCAGTGATAGACATATTGGCAACAACTGAGAACCAGAGAAGCTCCCACAGAGGAACATGTTTTGACGCTGAGTAACCAGTAGCATTGGACACCAGACCCACCAGTGCAGTTACAGCAAAGTGGAATCCAGTTAAGGTTGTAGCTGGAGAAAGCAAAGCATGAAGATCTGGTCAAACTGTGATCAGTTTAAAGCAAATTTAGGTGGAATGAAACAGAAAACAAATAAAACACACTTAATAGATTATCAGTAAAAAATTTCATGTAAAACATAATAGATTTGACAACCATCAAGCTTGAAAATGTAACTTCAGCTTTAAAAATAACATGCAAGCAAATGCATTCTCAACGTGTTTTAAGAGGTTTAACAGCAAAAGGAAAACACAACATTAGATCCCTGGAAATACTAGAAACCATAAATTTTGGACCAAAAGGTTCTTCCATCGAAAGAGCAAAATTTCATTTCAATGTATTGTTTTGGTTAGCTTGGAACCAAAAAGTTTAAAACATATAAAATGTTTATAAAAATTCAATAATTAAATAATTGACATAATTTAAGTATACAGATCTCTTTACATAAAAAGGCACAAATGAACAATTTCGAAGTGAATTCCATGAGAACCAAGAAGCACTAAATTTGAGTCAAACAAATCTATCTTATCAAGCAGGCAATATACAATTCTAGATGTGTATATCCAACCAATTTATCAAAATATCAAAAAAAATAATAAGTGTGACATGGGAGTTTCTATTTACACCACTGATTTAACTCACTAGACCCCCTTTCTCATTACACCAATCTAAATGGTTTGAAAAAAATATTTTATCTTTTTACACACTTCAATATCCCATCCTTACACCCAACCTAAGAAGCATGGACATGCAACACGACACAATAAGACACGGAATTGCTCACATGCCAATTTTCAAAAAATACAAGACATGACACGTAAGGGACACGCACAAAATATATAATTTATATATTTATATATGATATATAATAAATATAACACTCATTTTATAAATTTACATTATTTTTTTTGTTATTATTGTATCCTAAATTATTTAGTTCAAACTTATAATTAGTTTCATGTATATCTAATTGGTGGACACGTATGTTTAAGCAATGAACATCAGTGTCGGAAGAGTGTCCGAATCTAAAAATCTTTTCAAACAATAGGACACGTTTTGAAGAGTGTCGAACACGTGTTAAGGAGTGTCCAACGAACAACACGATACACCACCTTCTTAGAAGTGTCTGTGCGTCTTCCTCTCTCCTCTCTCCTAACCTCTCTCTCTTTCTCTCTCTCTTCGTTGATAGAAGTTCGACGGTAGTTCAATGGTTGCTGGGGCGGCTTCTCTTTCTCTCACTTGTTCCCCTATCTATCCCAAATCTAGGGTTTCAAATGATAGGGGATAGGGTTTTCCAGAGGTGGAGAGAGGAGGGGCAACTGAGGGTGGTAGAAAGAGGGGAGAGGGCTAGGGGAGGGTAGATCAAACAAGGGGCTAGGGTTTAAAGGGTAGGAGAGGGGAGATTTGGAAAGGGGCTAGGGTTTTGAGAGTGGGAGAGAGAACTGTAGGAGAGGGAGGGGTTGGGGAGGCGAGGCAAAGCTAGGTATCAGGGAAGTGAGAGAAGGAAGTGGAGGTTATTGGGGAAGGGAAGGGAGGGAAGGAAGAGAAAAGGATGTGCATGGGATAAAGGACCTGGGGGGTGGGTAAGAAGAGAGGAAGGGGATTGGGGGTGGTAAGGAGAGACAGCAACAAGAAGAAGAAGAGGGATATGGGATGACAATAAGTGGGGTAGACGTTGACGTTGGAGCTAAGTGATGGTAGTAGGTGGTGGGAGAAGATGGGTGGCTAGAGAAATTAGGGTATTGAAATTTTGGGGCTATGTCCTTTTAGGTAATTTTAATGTAGGGGAGCAATAAGGTAATTTTGTGGTGTTAATAGAAGCACCCTTAGGACATTAGTGGTAAACAAAGGTCAATAAGTTCCCAATATGTGGGAGGTCATTTACAAAAACATATTTAGCGTTTATATTATATATATATAACAAAAGCAATCATAAGGTTCGATAAAGGTCAATGAGAACAAAAGGTTTTCAGTGATTAGTTAGGAAAAGAGATCATAAAAAAAGAGCTAGTTTTTAGAAGTATTAGGTATTCAAGAAAACTACATACAACTGATAATATTTATTAAAAAAAAAGTACCTACACCAAACAAAGAAAGATCTTAACCACGCCATTTTCATTCATTTTTCCATATGTCCTCCTCTCCTTTCTACTTCATCAGATTTTCTAATAACTATAAGATTCTTATTTGTTCTCGACATATTCCTAGTACACGTCAAAACAACTCATTTTTCAAAATGTTTTGTAGTGTTTTAGTGTTTTGGTATGTTTCTATAGGAACACAGGAATTTCAAATTTCCACTTTTGTACTTTGCTTCCTTCCCTAAATCACCATTTTCAAAAATTAAATTCCTGCTTCCAGATTCTTCTAGCACACCAACTGGCCCACCCCTTATGAAACCTTTGGTTCCCATCCCAGCTCTCCTGCTGTGCAAACACCAAATGCTTATAGTCTCCCATCATCTTTCTTGCCTCCAATCACCATTATGTCCTTGAAAATGATTGGTTTTCAATGTGAGGCCCTGATTTGACACAAATTGAAGCTTCGAACCTCCAAGAACCCATTCTAATTGAAACCAAAGCAAGAATCTTGTTGCCAAAGCATAGCACGAACAGTCTAGCCCATAGAAACTAACTCCTGAACCTCATTGCCTCATCACCTTTAACTCTTAAAAAATGCCTTCATTCCGTAAATGCACCAACAAACCAAGTGCCTTGATCCAAAGCACTCTTGGGGCAGCTCCCAAGTTGTAGCAACAACCGGTCAAAAAGGATGGGTTTGCCCTTAATTTCCCAAGTTTCCTAATCACTGAGTTTAGTACAGTGGCCAGAACTCATGTAACTCGCTAGGAGATCATGAGTTCAACTCCCCCTCCCATTCCAACACACCCAAAAAACATCCCAAGCCTCTTGACAGGGGACTCTTTCCGCTTCTCTCTATGGAAATCGAAAAGGATTAGAAAATAAATAAATTAAATTAAATTTTTTTTTGAAAAAAAACCCACTGTAAGTCCATAACTTAAACCCCAGCGATGCCCTGCAATAGCCATAAGCTCAAATTTATAAGCATGTCTATCATCAATTGATAAGGATGCAAAAAAAACACCATTTTCCATAACCTCTTGACAGCGGTGTTTTTTTTTGGATCCTTATAAACAAACATGTCTATAATCCGTTTCAACAAATTGGTATGTAGCCGATAGCCATCCTAGTCGCTACAGATGTATTTGCCCAATTGATACATCTCAAGGAATTAATGTTGGACTTATTGGATCCTTATCAATTCATGTGAAGATTGGTCATGGGGGCTTTCTAGAAAGCCCATTTTTTGAAATTTCTTTTTGTCATTTATACAGGGGGAAGAAAATTTCTGATTATTATTAAGAACTCAACGGGGCCTTTCCGAAGATCTCTTCCTTCTCTTCGGGATGGAACATCAATTGCAACGATTCGATAAACGGCTCATTGGGATAGGTGTAGATGAGTAATACCCCTAGAAACGTATAGGAAGTTTTCTCCTCGTACGGGAGCCCTACTTTTTTTAGGGTTTAACCTTTCATCAAACCTGCAGGTGACCATTGGTGCACAACCGGATGATGACCAGCTGATCAACAGGGTGGACCACCAGATTGGAAAAGATTTAAAGAAAATTTACACTAGTTGTTTGATAAAAATTAAAAATTTAAAGTTGGAATGCGGTATCCTTTTTAACTCAAATCTTTACTCAAATTAATGAAAAAAAGAGAGAGAGTAAGGTTTGGAGATACGCTAAGCGATGCGACAAAATTAATTAATTAATTAATTAATAAGTGCAAGGCCTAAATAAGTGAGTGCATGACCAAAAAAATAAATAAATAAATAAAGAAAAAAACATGAGAACGCGAATAAGATGGAAGATCCGCATGAAACCAAGAACAAACAGGTTAAGTTGGAGCGAGCTGGGATCTATTTTTGGTTCAAGAAAAAGGAGATGAGAGAAGTTTTTTTTTTTTTCTCAGATCCAAGGAAGAAAGGGAGGGAGAAGAGAGGGAGAGAGAGATACCGACCAAATGTGAAAGCATAACCATTGAGGGACATGAGCTGCTTGTTGGCCATGATGATTCCAACTGAACTTATTACGTTCATTGCCCACGCACCCACGTCGGATATCGCTGAAGGTTTCTTCCCCTCCTCCATTTTTGTCTTCCCTTCCCTTGTCGTTTAATCTTCTCTCACTGGCACCCGGCTGACAGACACTTCAAATCTGATACTTGTAATGTAATTACACCATTCAAAGGAAGGGGATCTGAGAGAGAGAGAGAGAGGGCGCGTATGCCCGACGGTAGCAGATATGATTATCGAATTGTGAAGAAGAAGAAGAAGAAGATCCAGGACAATTTTGACGATGAAAAGATTGATTTCAAACGCTCTGTTTCTTTTGTCTCTCTCTCTCTCTCCTTTGTCCTGTAGAGAGAGGGCACATGCACTGTTACTTTGTCGCGGAGGAAGATGAAGATCTGGTTTCTGCAGAAGGAAAGGTGTGAGAGAGTAAAGGGATTTGATTTTCCACGCGCTCTCTCTCTCTCTCTCTCTCTCTCTCTCTCCCCCAATTTCCTTCCCACTTCGTTTATACGGACATCCCCCGTTTCTTCTGGTCAGACACGCCTTCACATTCAACTCTTGTGCCCCGGTCATCAGTCAAGCCCTTTGCAAGTCCCCCCATTTTTAGAGCATGGAAATTCCTAATGCTGTGCTGATTTACCCAAAAACGATAATATAATAATAAGTAATTAGATTTAATTTTTATCAAATCTTATTAAAAATAAATTTTAATAAAATCGTTATTGAAAATAATTTTTATGATAATTTTTTATCAGTCCTGCTACGGACCACTAGAAGACGAACTCTAAAACGAGCTCTAACCAGGTGGCATGTGAGGCATGAAACTGAAGACTATTTGCATATTGAGTGCGTGTGTTCACTCACTGTGAAAAAAAAAAAAAAAAATTAAATCCCGCGCAAATGTTGATCCATCGAGCTCATGTATATAGAAGAAAAAAAAAATTTCCTGCACATTTGATCTGAGCTTGTCTTCCACCGTTTCGTCGCCTCCACCGTCCGGCGTTTGCCCTCTCCTCCACCGTCCGGCGTCAACCCTCTCCTCTGTCGTCCCTCTCCTCCACCGTTTGGCGTTTGCTGTCTCATTCGGCATTTGTAGATCTGTCCTCTGCCATTCGTCTCCTCCACCGTCCGACGTCTTCTCCCTCCTCCACCGTCCGACGTCCTTGTCGGAGTTGGAATTCCATCTGGTCAGTTCTATCTCTTGTTTATAAATATGGAAAAAAAAAAAAAACAGCTTTGGTCCAAACATAGCAAGATAGGTTTGGTCCAAACAGAGTTGGACATAGCAAGATAGATATGAAATAAAAAAAAAAAAAAAACAGAGTTCAGAAATCCCCTTTTTATAAGTTCAAGATAGATGTTTAAAAAACAATTCAAGAACGATGTTTATAACCATGTTTAAAAAACAGGTTTGAACTCAGTCAAATGTTTATAACAGTTAAAAAAACAGTTGAAGATAGATGTTTATAAGTTTGTGAAACATTTGAGTTAATGAAACCAATGATGGTTCCTTGGAGACAACCATGGGACTGATTTCAATCCTGTTTGCTTCCATTTGACACTGATTTACTTGATTAACTATTAGACCCACCACTTGATTAAGGTACCATTCACACCACTGAATACATACACCACCACCAATCAGTAGAAGCAAACTACCACCATGGCATTTCCATTTGGTCAGATAGATATGAAAAAAAAAAAAAACACAACACAACACAACACAACAATTCAGTTTTTGGTTTAATCTGTTATACTTCAGGTCCAAACATAAATCTGTTAATCAGTTTTGGTCTAAACATTGGTTTATACTTCAGGTCTATTATTCAACTGTTATTAATTTTGGTTTATACTTTAGTTTTGGTCCAAACATTGGTTTATACTTGAAGTCCATAATTCAGCTGTTATACTTCAATTTTGGTTTATACTTCAAGTCCATTATTGAAAGTTTAATCTGTTATTAAAACAGAATAATCTGTTATTAATTTTTGAAAATAATCTGTTATTAATTCTTGAATTTAATTTTTGAATGAGCAGAAATGGAGATTGATTCAAATACTGTTGAGAATCCTTTATTAAATGAGAGTGAAGAAGTTGAGGAACCTAAGAGGGGTATGTGTTTCACCTCAAAACAAGAAGCGTACACATTTTATGCCAAATATGCTAAACATGTTGGGTTTTCTATAGCTTGTAAAACACAAGTTATCGGCGATGATGGGGAATTAAGATACTTTGGGGTTGAATGTTCTCGATTGGGGAAGAGAATTAAAAAATCAGAAGTAAACCCTTTAAAGCCATCTCTGTCCACAAAAATTGATTGCAAAGCAAGGGTACGAGCAAGCCTACAAAAGGATGGGAGATTTATGTTAACCACAGTTAACCTTGAACATAATCATGACTTGATCCCCACCGACTCACGCCATTTTGCAATGAATAAGAAAATCCTTAGTCCTGTGAAGAGAAGATTAGAAATTAATGATCAAGCAGGGATTGGGGTGTCTAGGAATTATAACTCAATGGTTGTTGAAGCTGGGGGTTATGAGTCTTTAACATTTGATGAGCGAGATGCAAGGAATTACATTGAGAGAGCTAGAAAATTGAGGCTTGGAGAAGGAAATTCCGATGCACTTCAAAAGTATTTTTTGAGAATGCAAGCACAAAATTCGAGTTTCTATTATATGATTGATGTTGATATTGACTTTCGCATAAGAAACTTGTTTTGGGCGGATGCAATGAGTCGGGCGGCTTATGAAGAATTTGGAGATGTTGTTTCATTTGACACAACTTACCTCACTAATAAATATGATATGCCATTTGCTCCGTTTGTAGGAGTTAACCACCATGGACAGTCGATTTTGCTTGGTTGTGGTCTATTATCTAGTGAAGACACTGATACATTTGTTTGGCTATTCAAATCATGGTTAAATTGCATGTCAGATCATCCTCCAAAAGCTATAATAACGGATCAGTGCAAAGCTATGCAAAAGGCTATAGAAATAGTCTTCCCCAATACTCGACATCGATTGTGTTTATGGCATATCATGAAGAAGATTCCAGAGAAGTTGAAAGAGTATTCCCAATATGAATCCATGAAGATGGATTTGCAAAATGTAGTCTATGACACTTTCACAAAAGATGAATTTGAGATGAAATGGAAAGAGATGATTGCAAAATTCAATCTTTATGAGAATCAGTGGTTGGGGGTGTTATATGATGAGCGACATCGATGGGTTCCTGTCTATGTCAAAGATATTTTTTGGGCTGGCATGTCAACGACACAACGAAGTGAGAGCATGAATGCCTTTTTTGATGGATATGTCAACCCAAAGACTACATTAAAACAATTTGTTGAACAATATGACAATGCCTTGAGAAGTAAGGTAGAGAAAGAGAAAAAAGCTGACTTCAAGTCTCGGCACAAAGTCTTTGATTGCCTAACTGTGTATGGTTTTGAGAAACAATTTCAAGATGCGTACACCAATGCAAAATTCAAAGAAGTTCAAGCTGAGATGAAGAGGCTAGTTTATTGTCAACCGTTTCTTATCAAAGAAGAGGGTTCAATTTGTACATATTTTGTGAAGGAAGCCATGGTAGTTTTTGGGAAGATGAAACATGTGGACTTTGTTGTCTATTCTAATTCGACAGAATTTGATGTGCAATGTATGTGCCGGTTGTTTGAATTTAGGGGCATCATGTGTGCTCACTCACTCGTTGTGCTCATTGCAAGATGCATAAATGAGGTTCCAAATAAATACATTCTACCACGATGGAGAAAAAATTTGGATAGAGGGTACACATGCATAAAAGCCACATACACTGGCTTTGGGGATGATTTCAATGCAAAGGTGTATGATAAGATGAATAGAAAATTGATTGGCATTGTACAATTTGCTGGAAACTTTGAAGGGAAAATAAAACTTATTGACTGTGGGTTGGATGAAATCAAGGCGAAAGTGATGAAAGATGATGAAGGTGGTGGGAGTAATGTAGCACCTTCGACTAGTAATGTACCACCTATTACTAGTAATGTCTCATCTTTCCCGATTGGCAGCATTAATGGAAAGGCAATCAGTCATACCAAGTTGCTTAGTCCTTTGGTTGCTCGCCGAAAAGGTCGTCCAGTTACTAAAAGAAAGGTCGCCAAAGTAGATCAAATAGTCAATCGGTTAAAGGCAAGCAAAAGAAAACATAACAAATCAAAGGTAAATTGATTGTTTTCATACATATCCATCCGTTTTGTATCATTACTCTCTATTCAACTCATATTTTATTGTAATCATGTCATACATTTGAGCCATTCATTAACCTTTGTCAATATAGGGTACTAAGGTGATTGGAGGTGAAGGTGAAGGTGAAGGTCAATGTCAATCTCAACTTGAACGTGGTGCACGTAGAGAGCTTTATCCTTATATGGTTGGCATGGAAAATAGTATATGTGTGCCGGTACGTGTATATCGAGCAAACTATTTTTCAATAATGTTTAGCAAACTGGTTTTAACATTTCATTTTAATTGAATAGGGACACATGGTCAATGCTATTGGAGGCACATCTGTCACCCCGGCAAGTGTGGACATTATGAGAGGACAAAGTTTCATGAATACCCCAACTCAAATTTATGGAGTTGGCACATCTCCGACCCTGTCAGACTGTATTGGAGGCACACCGGGATTTATGACAACTCAACAATCCATGATTGCTACGCATCAAATTTATGGAGCCGTACCGTCTTCATTTGTTGACTTGAATGTACAAATGGACCGCAATGACCATGGTGGTAGTTTTCGTTAGTTGGAAAGTTGTAATTGTAATGCCTTTTATGTGACTAAACTTGGAGTTTATTTTGTTTTGAATAGTTTATTTAATGTATTTTTGGTTAAGAACAAATTGATGTTGTTCCCTACTTTGTTGTTATAGTTAATGTTCCCAATTGATGTTATATTTGTGCTCTGTTTGTTACAGATTTAATGTGTTCCAAAATCTGTGTTCGAAAAAATCTGTCCCATAAATGTGTTCCAAATCTGTGTGAAAAATCTGTTACAAATCTGTTCTAAAATTATGTCTGCATATCTGTCTTCAAAAACCTGTGTGGTAAAATCTATCTTCAAAAATGTGTGGAAAAAACCTGTCTTCGAATCTGTCTTGAAAAATCAGTGTAAAAAAATGTCTTCAAAACTGTGTGAAAAACCAGTGTTCAAAAAAACTGTCTTGAAAAACCTGAGTGGAAAAATCTGTCTTCAAAACTGTGTGAAAAAAACCTGTCTTTGAATCTGTCTTGAAAAACCTGTGTGAGAAAAAAATGTCTTTAAAATTGTGTCAAAAACCAGTGTTCAAATCTATGTTGAAAATCTGCCTTCAAACCAGTGTTCAAATCTGTGTTGAAAACCAGTGTTCAAACTGTGTCAAAAACCAGTGTGCAAATCTGTGAAGCACCTGTGTTCAAATAGACAAATACATCTTCATACATAATGTGTTCAAAAACAGACAAACAGTCCAAAATCTGTCCACAATCAGTCCAAAATCTGCCCAAAATCTGTCAAAAATCTGTCAAAAATATGTGTTCAAACACACAAACAAATAACTTTCCAAAATCAACCCAAAATCTGTCCAAAATGTGTCCAAAATCAGCAGAAAATGTGTCCAAAAGCAGTCCAAAATCTGTCCAAAATCAACCCAAAATCTGTCCAAAATCAGCACAAAATCTGTCAAAAATCAGTCCAAAATCAACCCAAAATGTGTCCAAAATCAGCACAAAATGTGTCCAAAATCTGTCAAAAATCAGCACAAAATCAGTCCAAAATCAACCCAAAAACTGTCTAAAATGTGTCCAAAATCAGCAGAAAATGTGTCCAAAAGCAGTCCAAAATCAGTACAAAATCTGTCCAAAATCAACCAAAAATCTGTCCAAAAAGTGTCCAAAATCATCACAAAAAGTGTCCAAAATCAGTCCAAAATCAACCCAAAATCAGTCCAAAATCTGTTCATAATATGTGTTCAAACAGACAAACAAATAACTTCCAAAGTTCCAATCAGATAACAAACAATCGACATGATTACATATTCATACTTCTCAATCCATAATTGTAATATATCATAAATCTTCATACATATCATCTTCATAATTACTACAACACCAATTACATGTTCTAACTTCTATAAAAATTATTACATCTTCATAATTAATGTAACACCAATTACAAGTAAGATGAAGATCCCATTAATACAACACGAATTTCTATTTATGCCTCTTTGCAAGTTTTGCATTTGCGCGTTCTGAAATTGAAGTTGTTCGCTTTGAAATCGAAGATGTTCGCCCATACTTTGAAGTTGTTCGGTGACAGTTGGTGTATTGTCCATTCGCACTTGCCCTTCCTCCCTACGTTGTGAATTTGTAGGCAAGCACCATCCAATAAACCCACTGCAATCCGGACAACAATAAAAAAGCTTGTTCTTGTTTCATTCCGTCTCCGAAATTAGAATAATTTCTTTTTTCCGACATTGAGGACAATTTCTGTTGCAAAATGTCAATTGATCTGATGTACTGGCGTTAACACTTGAAGTTGACATCTGCAAAAATATGAATCAAAATCTCAATCAGTTAGTGTATTAGTCTTAGGACTATTTAACTTGCTAGAAACAAATGTGATTCCTTGAAGGCTAGGGGTGGCCACTATTTGGGCCATAGGTTATGGCCAATCAGCATGATTATAACATCATGTTGGGCATGCTCTTTTAAGTGCAATTGGTCTTGTGTGTAGTGGTTGTGAGATGAGCTATTGGAATATGTCTCAAATTCCCTTGAAGTTGGGTTTAGTAGATATTATTATTCCTCATCTACCAATAAAGTTAACTAGAACTCTATAAATAGGTAACCAGAGAGACATGGAATTTATTGCTGTAAGTTGGAATTTATTCCAGAACTTGTGGAAAATTTTAAATCATGTAAATAATTCAATCAACACAATCATGTTTATGCTACAAATTCTTAAGTTTAGTGTCTTCTATTCTTGCTGTTCTCATACTTTTTTAATAAGCAAAATTTTATTAGAACGGTTTAGTAGTTTTTTCATAACTGGTATACTTAACTATACTTTTAAAAAGTGGACAACTGAAGTGCATTCAAAGCTATGGCCTTGATATGTCATATGTGATATCAGTTATTAGTTGAAGTGTTAGTTCACCCAAAGAAATCAGAGTACTGACCTCTACAAGGTCCACATTCTACATATTCTTGGTGAAACCTAGAATATGAACCAAACCCTGATTGGCTTGTTTTGGTTCTGTTCATCAATGCTTCTGTTTTGCTCCCAGTTCAAAGTTTTAGACTTCAAAAAAAAAAAAAAAAAAAAAAGGCTGTTTGGCTATGTATTGCAGGGTCAGCTTACTCGAGGTCCCAAACCAAACTGAATATACATATACACACACATATATCTTACTCAAGTAAAGAAGGTACAATCTATACAGAAGTAAGAGCTTCTTTAAAATATGTGGAACAGAATCCAACCAAGTCCAAAAAAAGACTTGAAGAGGATAGCAGCATTGTTGTCTTGCATCATTCATGGCAAATAGTCTTTATTCCTCAATTCAATAGGCCTGGATAAGCACTATGCAAGTCTTTTACAATTGGCCCAACTAAGCTGTGTCTAGCTTTAGTAACTGTTCTAATTATGGCATTCTAAATATTAACTAGTAGAAAATAGTAAAACCAATCATCGAACCAAGCCAACTTGGTTCTCTCTATAATCTCTCCTCTTTGTCTCCTTCACTTCCACTCTTCCTCAGCTACTACACATAATGAATAGTCAGTGATCTTGCATTTCCAGCAATCACAAATCACAAATATAATATAATTTTGTAGTTATTGTTTATTGAATTATATATGTTTGGCTAAGCATGATTAGAAATTTACAACTACACAGATGCTCTATAGAATCTTGTTTTCTTTGGGACATTTGACTTGTTTGTTATAATTTTCATCATAATCATATTCCTTCATTTTGTAAGGAATCAAAGACTTTAGAAACTTATTAAAATGGTTACCTAAACATAGGTATGTGTTCAAGATTTTTTTTTTAGCAATTTGGCAAATGGGTTTTCTTTATTTTCTCTGTTTTTTAGAACAAAAATCAGTTTTCAATAACAATACCCAAGTTGACGGTGTTTGGCAGACTTTTAAAAACAATTTTTTCATCTCGGAGTTGCGAATTAACAACAAAAATGCACGCTTAGTTTAGTCACCATAGAATGATAGATTGGGTATGGATCTAGCTTTGACATTATTGCACCAAGTCCCTTTGATTCTAACCCACTACTTCAAGATTGGTAAACAAGAGTTTGGCTCATTCTAAGAACTGTTTACAAAATTGAATTTAAAAATAACAAGTATGAAAGACGACAATGTAAAAGTAAAATTAAGGAGCGTGGTTTTTGTTGGAAATTTGAACTCCTGAACATAGGTGGAAGAAAACACAAACCAAGAGTAAAAAAATTGGAGAAATTATGTGGTTTGTCAATATCTTGCAAGATCACTGACTAGTCAATATTTGTGATTTGTGATTACAGTCTCTCCAATAAACTAAATTGCCCAAAGATTTCAATACAACACATAATGACTGTAACCCATCAATCCAAAAAACGAGGTAACCCATTACAAACAAACTTTGGACTGTTCTTTTTCCTCTAAACAAACTGACTTCAATTGAAATGTGTTGTGAATTTTTTTTTCAATTAAAGTTGAAATGTGTAGAAATGTTTCTTTTCCTCCACACAAATTTTTTTGAATTTGACAAACCTTAGGGTCATTGTTCTCTCAATAAGTTGCACAAAAAAAACAAAAAAAAATTAAAGTTGAAAATCAGGGCGTATGTTGAAAGAACTCGTTTACCAATCTTGAAAAAATCAGGGCGTATGTTGGAAAAAAATTAAAGTTGAAAATCAGGTTCACTGTTCTTTTTCATTGAAGCATTCAAGAAAAATTAAAATTAAAGTTAAAATTATTTTTTTTCTGTACAAAATCACTCCAAAACCAGTCCAAAATCTGTCCAAAATCAAAATCAAATTCGTCCTAAACAGATGAAATCAAAGTGAAAGACACAAATCAGGGCATATAGATATAGATATATACATAGATATAAATCAGGGTATGAAATAAAGTCAAAAATCTCAACAAATCAGGGCGTATAGATATAGATATATAAATATATATATATATATAGAGAGAGAGAGAGAGCTGACCTGTGCAGACAGATCTGTGAAGACGGAGAGAGACTCGGTCGTCGTCGGTCGTCTTCAGAAGCTGCGCTTGTCGTTCTCGTGAGAAGCTGCGCTCATCGGGGTTGTAGAAGCTGCATTCGTCGGGAGCTCGTCGACAAAGAGGCACAGCAGAAAAGAGAAGAGAATGAAGAATAGAGAGAGATAGAGTCTTCAAATGTTTTGTGCAAATGAATTTGAAATTTGAAATGAATAAGAAAGAGGGAGAAACGGGCGAGTTTATCTCAGCTTTCCACGTTGGCAGCCACGTCATTAGTGACGATTTAGTGATCACGTTTTAGAGGTCGGAAGCATTTTCGATTTTTTATATATGTGGCTAAAAATTAAAAATTAAAAATATTTTTTTATTACGATTTTTATAAATTGTCACTAAAATTTATAATTAATAAATTTTTTTGTGACGAATTTTTTAAATTATCGCTAAAAGTTAAAAATTAGTGACTCTTTTTTAATTGATTCTTCTCTTTTTTAAGTGATTCTTTTTAAATTATTGCTAAAACTTATAATTAGTGAAATTTTTTGTGATAAAATTTTTAAACTGTCACTAAAAATTAACAATTAATAATATTTTTAATAAGATTTAATAAAAAAATATCATTAATTACCATAGAACTTATTAAACAATAAATCTATTTAATATGACCTTTACGTAGATCCTCAATAATAATTTATTCAATTCGTTCCATCTCAAACTAATAATTACTTCTTGTCTAAAAATTGTATCTATTAGATATAGGAATGATTAATTCATTGCAAAGTTAAATAAAATCATTCCACTTGTGTCTGTCTAACACCATTTCATTAAACAAAATGCTATATAAAATAACAAAATATTTTGGGAAAGGTTTGCTAACTGAAGGTGTTGTTTGGACTCAGTACAAAATTCATATCTTAATGATGATTTGATCTGTTAATATTATAAGACTTGTCAAAATATTATTCTTACAAAAAATAATCGGTTAAATTATCATGATCCGAATTAGTGTCATAATTTGTCAATTTTAATGTGAAGTTGCGATTTTAATTTTAACAAATCCATATTTGATTGGCAATAATACACGCGGACTTGTTCATTAAACCAGAAATCAATATAATTCATTAATTAAATTAGTCATAAAATCATAATTTTAAAATATTGATAATTTTTTTATAAATATTTTCAATTTAGATTGATAGTAAATTTGAGGCTATTAACGATAACTTTTAAAATCAATGTATTAGGGGTGGGCGCGGGTCGGTTGCAGCCACGAAACCTCTAATCCGCCATTTGTCTGTTAGATTGGCGGATTGGAGAAAATCAATCTGCATCTGCCTGCCAATCCGGCAGATGTGGATTGAGCGAATTGACAGATTGACAGATGGATGCGAATCGATTTGGCGGTTTAAAATTTTATAAATTTTCAACATAATCCAACATGTGCACTTTCTAAAAAATAAAAAATAAATAAAAAATATTATAGTCAATGACTTAAAAAAGTATTACAATCACTGCATGCCTCATCCAAAGAAAGAAAGTTTGAGATTTTAGAATATTACAATCACTGCATGCCTCATCTACATAAAGTATTACAATTAATCTGTGATTCTTAAAATATAAAAATAATTCAAACCACCTAAACCATGAACAGAGCAGTAGTAGAGATTGTATGCCTCTGCATTGTTGCATCTATATTTGTTTTTGAAAACAAAAACCAACCAACATATATTATATTTTTTATTTATTATTTTTAGAGTTAGATTTAAAAACCAAAATATATTGATAAATAATACATTTATTTATTTTTTCAATTCAAAAAATATATTCAAGGTGAAAATTCCTTTTCAACAGAATATATTCAACAAAATATTTAAACTATTTTTCAATTGAAAACACAAACAGAATGTCTAAACAAATTAAAAATACAAAGTCTTACAAATTATTAGAAGTGCTTGTGGTTTGATGGTTCGGTTGCGGCTAAAGAAATCTCAAATCCGCTATCCGTCCAAACTAGACGAATTGAAAAAAATCAATCCGCAACTGTCCACTCGTCATCACGTATCTGTCCAAAATGCAACGGATCGATTCGGTTCGGTTCGGTCCGACCGATTTGAACGGATCTGTATATCCGCTGCTCTCCCCTACAATGTATTATATTTATGGGCAAAATCACTTTACACCCTTATGGTTTGTTTTTGGAGCATTTTACCCCCTTATAATTCAAATATAGACAGAAAACCTCTTTATGATTTTGGACTAAAGTGTAAAACTAACTCTGTTAAACCAAACACCCCTATGTGATATTCTATTTCTCTCTTCTCTAATACATATAATTTTCTATCTTAATCATATATTTGACAAATTAAATCATGAATTAAACCAAACTCCCTAATTTATTACCATAAAATTACCTTAAACTATTTTTTATTTTTTATTTCTAAACCAATTTTTTATTTAATAAATTTTTTAATTAAACATAAAATTATTATAAATTAACCTAAACACCTTAATTTATTAACCATAAAATTACCTTAGGACTGGAGGGGGCATAATATTCGGGGGAGGAGGAGGCGGAGGCGGGGCGACAGCGGTCGGAGGCTGCGGCGGGGCTAGGCTGGGCGACAATCGGCGGATCGGCGGCTGGGAGGGGCGACGATCGGCGGCTGGCCGGGGCGACGATCGTCTTCTCTCTCTCTCTCTTCCCCTCTGCTTCTCTCTTTCTCTCCCTCTCCCTCTGCTTCTCTCTTTCTCTCCCTCTGCTTCTCTCTACGTCTTCTCCCTCGAGCCATTTGGGGCAAAATGTTTCGAGCTACGAAACATTTCCCTTATTTTTTTATTGGATGAAACATCAATAAATCCCAAAATGTGATCTTGTGAACTATTTAATCTTTTATTTTTTCTTATGCACCCAAAAGTCCCATTAAAGTGAAAATTACATAAAAGGGTAGTCACTTACATGTTTAGATTTAATTTTTTAGGAATAAAAGTGAGTTTCTCAAAATGTAAAATTATATATTTGGGCAATCCATACTGGCGCCGTTTGGGAAGAGGTGGGTGAGGCTAATATAGCCTAAAATGAGAAATAAGCAAAAAAACGGCACTGTTCACAGTTTTTTCAAAAAAAAAAGAAAATAGGCTCTGCGCTGGACAGTGTCACAGTCGGAAATTGGTACATCAACGGCAAAATTACCATTTTGCCCCTTTATATCAATTTAAAAAATAAAAAGTTAGGGACAAATTTGTCATTTTAAATTTAAACATCATTTCAACACACTTTCCAATACAAGAACTCAACTAAAAATTCATCTCATCTTCCCAAGCACAAAACTAAAATAGCCTACTAAAATAGTCAAAAAGCCAAATAGCCTACTAAAATAGCCACTTCCCAAACGAGGCCACTATAGAAGTTTTGGATTTTTTCTCATTTTGGATCAAATCTCACATTACGAACAAAAATGTAACACTCTAATGTAACACTCAAATAACGTAATACTTTAATGTAACAAACTACAAAACTCCATGGTATACTTTTCTCAAACGTAATTACGTAACACTAAAAAAAAAACTCTTTAGTGTATTTTTTCCAAACATAACACTCCAATCAATATAATTCCAAATGTAACAATCTAATGTAAGGGCAACTCCAATGGTGTATAAAATATTTCACTAAATCTGAGTAAAAATTTGAGGAATTTCTCTATCTAATATCCAGCTCTCCAACGGTGTATTTTTGGCTATTAGCAAAATGCCGGTCGACTGGGAGGATGATCGGCCGGTCGATCGGCAAGATAATTCGGAAAATCTATCTTTTTTATTTGCTCATTCATAGCCTCAAACAATGGCTTCAGAAACAGCAAAACTGTAATAACCCCGACCTCCGATTAATGCTAAATTATGATTATTTATGCCTAATAGTAATTTAGAAGGAATCTAGAATTAAATTGCATATGTATTGCATTATCTTTGTGTTTTTATCTGTTTGTCATGAAATGATCTGTTCATGTTTTATGTTTTAAATTGTGGATTGAAGGCCTTATCGACGGCTGAATCCGAAATTGATTAGTGTTTTAGACTAGTTAGAATATATGTGATTTTATGGTAGGTTTTATCAAAATTTGATTTGCTATGATTAACTTAGATTAAATAATGTTAAATTACATTAGTTAAGTTTATTACCAAATTGCCATTGAGTGGCCTATTACCTAAGGCAACCTTAAGATTGATTCATACACCATTTTCAGCCTTTTTCCTTGCCAAAACCGTGAGAGCGAGAGAGAGAGCGAGGTAGGAATTTGAGTTCAACAAGAGATTTGGCTTGGAAATTTGAGGATTTGTAGAAGAACTACACAATTGAGCTAGCACACCTTGAACTCAAGACTTAAGGTAGGAGATTCCCCTTTTAATTGTGCATTTAAGCTTAATTCTTACATGGTTCATGGAAGATTAGAGTTTAAAGTCTAGAATTGGTTTAAAGAGTTGGATTTGAGAGTGAAATCATGCATGCATGTTCATATCTTAGCATTTTGAAGTGTTTTCATGGAAGTTCTTGCATGCAAGCCCATATTCTAGCCTTAGTCCATGAATTCATCATGATTTTGAGCTCAATCTTACATTTGGTCATGTTTTAGAGCATTGGATTTAAAAGGAACACTTGCATGTTAAGCTCTTGTTTTGTTCTTGAAGCTTTATTTGAAATTGTGTTTAATTGACTCACCTTTGGGCTTTGATTTTACAAATTGATCTTTGAAACATCTTATACTATGAGTTTACAAGTGTTTTTCAGAAAATGGGCCTAGGAGGTCGAGTTTTGAGGTGTTGAATGCTTTGTTTGAGCTTGGGAGGCAAATATGGAAATTCCAGAATTTGGCTTCCTCGCTCAAGCTAAGGATTCCACGCTCGAGTGACTATCGTTTGTTCAGAGCTTTGCTCGCGCGAAGGAATGGTAGCTCGAGCATAAATTGCAAGCTCTCTGGTTTTTGGTGCACGCAGACGCACGCTCGAGCGACGAGACCTATGCTTGAGCGAAGAGCTGTGTCTCACGCTCGAGCGAGCATTGAGCGGGTATCGAGCGTAAAATTTCAACAACTAGTACTTTTGCATTTTTACAGACCGCTCGAGCGAAGGAGTCTACGCTCGAGCGAAGGAGTCTACGCTTGAGCGAAGGAGTCTACACTCGAGCGACCCCTCTGTTTTGACAAACTCGCTCAAGCAAAGGAAGCTACGCTCGAGTGAGACCCCTGTTTTCAGCAAGTTTTGAAAAATGTTTTCCAAGGCATCTTTGCATCCTTATTCCATCATAGGCATTCCTAGGCC